AGCATGCAGCGCCAGAGTCATCTCCACCGGTGCCAGGAGGCATGTGGAGGACCTGGTCCTGCAGAATGGGTGTTGCACAGCCTTGAGACACTGGTCCTTATGGCACGCATCACAGCCACGCATCCTCCATGTCCACCACCACCCCAGGTGTCCAGGGCCTAAATATGAGAAGCATGCGGTCCTGCTACCTGGGCTTAGGGCCCCTGGTCATGCAAAGCCATGGCTGTGTCTTGCTGATGCTGTGCAGGATGCTAGGATGAGCCTCATAGGGGAAGGAAAAGCTGCTAAAGAGGGATGAGACCCTGGTCAAAGGACTGGCTATGGACCTCCATCATGGAGGGCAGCCTCCCAGTCCTCCTCTGAGTTGTCCTATATTGTCCACCAGCCAGCAAGAAGCAGACCCAGTTACTGTTTTTCTACTGGTACTGGAAAACAGTTGGCTTCCTAGTGGGGCTCTCCTGTTGCTGGTCATCCTGGCGCAGCACAAGGAGTTGAGGACTTCAATGGCTTGGAGGAACATGAGAGGCCAGTCTGAAGATGGCAAATGCAAGACATTAACATATTAAGCTGTGCCTGGAGCCACAGGTGGTTAAACGCTATGCCTGGAGCAGGGAGTATGGCAACAGGAAGCAAAGGAGGGAGCTGGGTACTGCTGTAACTCCAGCCCAGGGTGGATGAAGCCAGGCTGCATGGGAGAGGATTAGCTCCATGCCATGCAGGTGTGACCCAGCCTGCACAGGATCTCAGCAGCAGAGACCTAAAGACTGTATCAACATAGGGATTATCAACAGCTAAACACTCACGACCAAACACCTCTGTCCTCAGCTTTGTCAAGAAGTAAGAGCAGGACACAAGAAGGCAAAAGAAGGGACAACAACAAAAAGCAGAGTGAGGACATGAGGGGTCAAAGTAGATCATCAATATCCATGGGCGAAACCAAGGAGTACGGCAGGGACACAGACATGAGTGGCATGGCCACCCCTCTGCAGTGTCTGCAAGCACCTGGACAGCCTGCCCACCACTCCACGTGACGTGTCAGCAGTTTGCTGCCAGCAGCCCTTTGAAGCTCCAGCCATGTAAATGTGCCACTCACTGGAGCAGAGGTTGGTCACTCCCTGGGGCAGGCACTGGAGAGCAGGGCACCGGTGGCACGAGTGGGAAGTTGCACTGCGGGCTCACCGATCCGGGCGCCCCCCCCGGGGAGGGGCCACTGGCCGCAGGCACACAAGCCAGGCTCCGAGTGTTTGCTTTCCATTCTCCCAGTCTGATGATAACCACACGCTCCCCAGCCAAGGCTCCGTCTCACCATGCTGAAATTCAGAAGGTATTTGATCACGTAAGTGGATTTATTTATTTATTTATTTATTCAAGTAAAATACTGTTTCCTTAAGTAAAATTCTATTTCCATCCTACCCAGTGGTCATGTCCTTGTTGGTCCCTCTGTGCTGAGAAAAGATTGGAGATTGAAGTGATAATGGGAATGGGCAGAGTAGTGCTTCTGTTCCACAGAAACGTGGGGAGGTCTGGGTTGATGGGGCTCTCTTCTAGTGAATCTCCAAGGGCAGCACTTCTCCCCTGCGTGCTAGGCAGGAAAATAGCATCTTCTGTAAGGCCTGATACTGCAAAGGAAGAAGAAGTGGGGCAAGTAGCATGCTGATCCCTCCTGCCTTGTCCCAGGTGAGGTCTCACCACTTTCAGCTCTGCACACTCACCTGCGGAGCAGATGTGTAGCAGAAACATGTCTCTGCACAAGTCTTCTATGCGGC